GGCACTTCGGGATCGCAATCCAGTCTCACGAAGACGATTGGTTACGGTTTGCCGGGAAATGTTTCGCGGCCGTCGTCGTCCTTGTTGTTGCTGCCGACGGTTTGGAAAATCTTGGGCAACAACATGAGCATGGACAAAAGGTTCTTGACGAACACGTCGAACGATCAATCGCTCGTCTCGACGTGTGGTTACACGACGTCGACCTTGTCCAGCACGTCTGTCAAATCCATTAGTTTCCCGATAGCGGTTGTAGGCTCGTGACACGACCGAGGAACTAACGCCAAGTCGATTGCCGACATCCCGATACGTATGCCCTTCTTGGACGAGAGTCACTAGCTGAGCGACTTCTGGTGCGGATAAATGCCGTCTAGGCATGACAAAAATTAAAAAAATTGAAGTCTACAAAAACTTTTGATTAATTTTTTTCACTAGAATTACAAAAAATATTGTTAGTTTTGAGAAAAACTGTTGGTTGGTTCCTTTGAATCAAAGATAGAGTTTTAAAAAAAACTGTTTTTTCACACTTGTTAGCTTCGTAAGAAAGTTTAGGATAATACGCACTATTTTTTCGCAGATCGAGGACTACACCAATCTTGGGGGTATCAACTTTTAATCAATTTCGTTAATTCAAAATAAAGGAAATTACGGTACGGAAAGAGTACATCGCTTCAAAAATGACTCAATATTTTTATCTTGAGTTGTTAAAAAATAAAGAAGAGTAAATTTTCAAAAAATTTTCAAAAATTAAAAAGTTTTTTTTTTCAAAAATTAATTTTTTCTTCAAATTCAATGAGCAAAAAATGCCCAATTGTGAAAGAATTGAAAAAAAAAACAAATTTTTCATTTTTACGAACGTTACAGGGTGCTCAGAAATGTAAATTTTTTTAGTCTTATTTCTTAGAATTTCGTGATGACTGTCCCTCCTAAAAATTTTGAGCTATGAAATCTGGAAACTAGACATTCGGTGCTTTAAAATGCTTTTTTTAAAATCTTGATACGATCATTTTTAACTGAGATACAGCATTCTGAAAAATCACTAAAAATTTGAAAAATTTTTTTGCTCCCTTAATTTTTTGCAGAAGTGTATTTCAAATATTGTACCTTTTAAATTCGAAGTAAAGAAATTATTAAAGTATTACTCCTTTTACAATGTAGAGTAATACCTCACTAGCGATCTCTTGGACTGGCTTTAGGGACCATTTTAAATTTGTTTTACATGTATTGTCGATTTTTAAAATTATTTCTTATGTATTATTTATTTATTTTTACTAACAGTTGTATTTAATTACTTGTTTTATATATTGTCTGTATTTACATTTACGCTTGACAATTTCTCATATTTACAGTCGGTAAATCTATAGAAAATAAAGATTATTATTATAATTAAATAACTAGATGGATTTCACAGGGTCTAACGAAGCTTACAGTGTACGATAATTCAATAAACAAAGAAATCTAAATAAAAAATTTAGATAAATTTGTAACGAATACACTGAAGATGAATTTTTCCAGACAAAACGTCTGAATTTGGTTCGGGTTGAGACAATACAGAATTGGGGAGCATGAAGGCTTGCAAAAAATGTAATAAAATTTCTAGGGTTGTATTTAAAAAAATTAAGTTGCTGATGGTCCTGGAGAGACGAAACATTATAGACAAAAATTGATTATGCCATTCGATAGAGGGCAAAAGGTGGCCATGAGAAAGTGTTGTTCTTTTTTTCAAAATCGCCTCAAACAAGGCTGAAATGAAACAAAAACGGATTTCTAAAATTTCGTTTTTTTTTCAAATATTTCGGAAACTAATCATGTTAGGCTTTTAATGCTTTCAAATAATTATTTAAACCTCTTTTGGAACGGCTCCTGAACGTTGACCCACAAAGGTTTATCGAGAGTGAATCTTGACCTACCACAATACTGGGTCAGTAGCCTAGCTTTTAATGCGTTTTTAATTCGTAGTGAACTACACCGAATAAACAGATGTTTTTATATAGACACTTGAATGAATAAGATACTTTTTTACATTTTAAATATTAACCAGTATTTATTTGTTAATAAAAACAAATGTGTAAGGGTAATAATTGTTTTCGAATGTCGGGTTATTACAATTTAGTATTTTTAATATTGTTAACAGTTTCACTATGATTTATAATTGAATATGAGTCTTACTATTATGTTCAATTAATTATTCAGTTTGTAGTACATATTCTTAGCAAGTCACTGATTTTCAAAGAGTAGTATGGTACCTACCAGAGGCGGCTCGTGGTATCTTGGGCAGAGGGGGCTTAAAATGAAAAACTTTAAACCGTCGCGTTGTAATCAAACGGGCACCTTTCCTCACCACCCTTGAGGTGCAAATTAAATATTTTTTTATATATATCTATGGCAATCTGCGATTTTCAGATCCGGAAAAATGATCAATAACTTAGTCATAAAATGAGTTATTTTCTTTCAGTTGTTACGAATACCGTTTTTCTATGGAAACAAGAGATATATTTGAGAGACGATCTTGAGCATACTTCTAGCAAAAGTCTTTATACGTTTAAGTGCTGAAAATGACCGTTCTGCAGAAGCTGATGTTACGGGAATTGTCGACACTAAAGATAAAAGTTTATATGTCTGAGGTAGACAATTTATTAATTTATTATTCCAAATAAAACTTGGCACTCCTTTATTCGATGTTGAACTGCCTAAAAGTTGTTGGTCGGAGTACAATACACAAAGTTCATTCCGCAATAACACGCTATCAAATATCGGATATTGTTCATTGTCATTCGGAAATAATTTGCAGAACAATGTAAAATTATCCGAATTTACTAAATTGAAGCATTGCAAACTATGTCACAAAATCTAATTTCAATTTGGACTATAACACTATCTAAAATTTCACAAAATTTTCAAAATTCTGCTTAGATTTTCTGTATCACCATTAGTTCCCGAATAATTATCAAAGCCAAAACAGTTATTTTTGATTTGATTATACATAAAGATCTTGAACAGCTCAAATTCAAAGAGGATGAATTAAACTAAAAGAGATGACATGTGGGACTGCCAAGGAAAATATTGGGACCCATGGACCTGTTGAAAGTGAAGTAAAAATTATAAAGTTAGATTATATTTAGATATCGAATTAATTAATCAATTTATGTCAAGCAATGACATTAATCACTTGTCCATTTAGATTTTTATAACACTTTATTTAATACTTCAGAACATATGTTTGTCTCCAAATTTGAGTTCAACAAACTTCTCCAGATCAATTTGGTAGGACTGCTACCAGCAATTACAAGCAAAAACCGAGCAGCCAAGTATTCCAGGCAGACCTCGCTCTCTCAAAAATGTAACGAACTGACTGGCGGCGGCTTTTCGACGTAGACCTACTATGTTTACGAACATCATATTTCTAACAATAAAAAAATTTCCCCTGGGATTTCTCTTGATTTCTAAAAGGTGGTCAACGATAAAAAATTTTCAGTTTAAGATCCTGATACTAGAACCTTCAAGCTTCAATTTGCTTTTATTTATTGCTCTACGACCATTTTTCGTTAAGTTACAGCCTTCCAAATATCACCTAAAAATTTAGGATTTTTTTTATTCTTTAATTTTTGTGACTAGCGTATTAAAATTTGTGATAAAGTAAAAAACAAAAACTAAATAACGTCGACAAACAAAAAAAAGATTTTTTTTATTTGATTAAAATTTAATAAATTTATTAATAATACTATTGTATGGATGGTTTATGGATTTACTGTGTGACTTTATAGATAACATCTCGCAAATGCCTTTTCTGATAATTAAATACATCATTAAAGTTAAAATTGTGCTATCAGTACTATGGTTGATTCAGTTATCGTCATAAACCCTTAAAATTAATACCTAATTTTGAAAACTACTCTGTATATACAATTTTTTCAGCGATATGCCACTTCAGACCTCCGATATTGTACCATTCGAGGTGAGTGACTGTAAAAATGAAGAAGAGGATGATTGCATACATGAGAATGGATCAGAAGTGAAAACCAGGCAGGAGCGCAACGTATTGTACAAATGTGATAAATGTATTTATGAAACTGGAAGTGAGATCCGTCTTACGGCACACTGTGCGAGACGTGAGAAGGATTTGGAAGCATGTGAATGTGAATCGTGTGAGTACGAAACTGAAAATAAGAAATTACTTCTGAAGCACCCGTTGAAGCATAAAGATTCTTTGCAGATTCAAATGTACAGATGTAACGATTGTGATTATGAAGCAAGGTACAACAGTCATTTCAAACAGCATCAACTGAAACATAAAGATCCTTCACAGGTTCAAATGTACAGGTGTAACGACTGTGATTATCAAAGTAAATACAAGAATAGCATTAAATTGCATCAATGGAAACATAAAGATCCTTCGCAGGTTGAAGTGTACGGGTGTAACATGTGTGATTACAAAACTATATACAACAGTCATTTCAAACAGCATCAACTGAAACATAAAAATCCTTCACAGGTTCAGATGTACAGGTGTCACGATTGCGATTATGAAACTAAATACAAGAGTCATTTCAAAAAGCATCAACTGAAACATAAGGATCCTTCGCAGGTTCAAATGTACAGGTGTCACGATTGCGATTATGAAACTAGATACAAGAGTTATTTCAAAGGGCATCAACTGAAACATAAAGATCCTTTGCAGATTCAAATGTACAGGTGCAACGACTGCGATTTCGAAACTAAATACAGGAGAAATCTCGAAAAGCATCAACTGAATCATAAAGATCCTTCGCAGATTCACATGTACAGGTGTCAGGATTGCGATTATGAAACTAGATACAAGAGTTATTTCAAAAAGCATCAACTGAAACATAAAGATCCTTCGCAGGTTCATATGTACAGGTGTCACGATTGCAATTATGAAACTAGATACAATAGTCATTTCAAACAGCATCAACTGAAACATAAAGATCCTTCGCAGGTTCAAATGTACAGGTGTAATGACTGCAATTTCAAAACTAAATACATGGGTAATATTAAACTGCATCAAATTAAACATAAAAATCCTTCGCAGATTCAAATGTACAGGTGTAACGACTGCAATTATCAAACTGAATTAAAGGGTAGTATCAAAAATCACCAACTGAAACATAAAGAGCCTTCGCGGGTTCAGATGTACAGTTGTAATGACTGCGAATACAAAACTAAGTACAAGAATGCTTTCAAATTGCACCGACTGAAACTTGAAGATTCTTCTCAGGTTCAAATGTACAGGTGTAGCGACTGCGATTACAAAACTAGATATAGGAGATGTTTCAAACAGCATCAACTGAAACATAAAGATCCTTCACAGGTTCATATGTACAGGTGTAACGACTGCGATTACGAAACTAAATACAAGAGTACTATCAAACGACACCAAATGAAACATAAAGATACTTCTACGTGCAAATGTACAGATGTAGGGACTGCGAGTATGAATCCAAATACAGGAGTGGTATAAAATATCATGTGTTGAAGTATAGAAAGCCTTCACGAGTGCAAAGAAGTTTTTGAGGAAGCATTGAAGTACCTCCCATGGCACTCACGGCAGCAAAGTTAAAAATTGGGGCATTTTAGAGACTGACTATAAATATTTTAACTGAAGCAAAATGTAAAGCCTATCTTGAAAAACTTCAACAAGTTTACATGTGCTTCTGTAACCAGGAGTATTAATTTAGAATAATTTAGATACATTGTAATATGGCTTAGGGCAAGGGTCGGCAACTGGCGGACCGCGGTCCAAGTCCGGACCTCAGAAGGTAAAATACTGGATCGCTAAAGATTTTTTGAAAGTATAAATTACTCAAATAAACTATTTAAAAAATGTTTTGTTACGTTTAAGTGCCAATCTTATCATTTTTTCTAGTATTTTACAATTGTGTGAGTTCTTAATGGTTAGTAAGCAGATTAAATTTGAGTCCAAATTAAAATAAAAAAATAATATGAATTTTCTTTTGGACGACGTTAAAAATTTTCAAAAGTATCCGGACCCCACCTAAAATTACTTGCCGACCCCTGGCTTAGGGGGTGGCGAGCAGGGCAATCGCCCGTGGCATCCCTCATTCAGGGGCCTCGCGCAAGAGCCCGAGCAAAAAAAGTTTATATTTAAAATTTTATTTTATCCTTAGCAATTAGTGGTACAGGTATATGACAAATAAAATAAAGTTGGTTAAGTATATTAATACTTAATAATTTAAAGCGAATGCGCGAACCTGTGCATTTTCCTCATGATTTTTATAAAAGTAATCCCACTGAAGCAAATAGGACCGTCTGTAATAACTACAGTTATCTATGCCGTAAAAAAATATTAGGATCTACGGTAAAGTTTAATGACGATTTGATAATTTTGTGAGGAGTTGTCCAATATTATTTGATTCACTAAATATTGTTGGCACTGCATTTTTGTTGAGGCTGTTCTTCCTACTATTTCTAAAACATTTTAATTCAAAATGGTCTTCGCAAAAATAACATTTTCCGTTGATGAAGTTAAAATCTAGTTTACATAATTTGCGAACTGATTCTATCCAAATCATTTTCCTGTCTGCACTCTGCAGTAACTCTGAAAAAGCTTTTATTTCTGTAAGANGATCAATTTGGTAGGACTGCTACCAGCAATTACAAGCAAAAACCAATACTAAGCAGCCAAGTATTCCAGGCAGACCTCGCTCTCTCAAAAATGTAACGAACTGACTGGCGGCGGCTTTTCGACGTAGACCTACTATGTTTACGAACATCATATTTCTAACAATAAAAAAATTTCCCCTGGGATTTCTCTTGATTTCTAAAAGGTGGTCAACGATAAAAAATTTTCAGTTTAAGATCCTGATACTAGAACCTTCAAGCTTCAATTTGCTTTTTTTTATTGCTCTACGACCATTTTTCGTTAAGTTACAGCTTTTCGAAAATCACCTAAAAATTTAGGATTTTCTTCTTATTCTTTAATTTTTGTGACTAGCGTATTAAAATTTGTGATAAAGTAAAAAACAAAAACTAAATAACGTCGACAAACAAAAAAAGATGATATACTGGGTGTTATTGTTTGATCAAAATTTAATAAATTTATTAATAATACTATTGTATGGATGGTTTATTGATTTACTGTGTGACTTTATAGATAACATCTCGCAAATGCCTTTTCTGATAATTAAATACATCATTAAAGTTAAAATTGTGCTATCAGTATTATGGTTGATTCAGTTATCGTCATAAACCCTTAAAATTAATACCTAATTTTGAAAACTACTCTGTATATACAATTTTTTCAGCGACATGCCACTTCAGACCTCCGATATTGTACCATTCGAGGTGAGTGACTGTAAAAATGAAGAAGAGGATGGTTGCATACATGAGAATGGATCAGAAGTGAAAACCAGGCAGGAGCACAACGTATTGTACAAATGTGATAAATGTATTTATGAAACTGGAAGTGAGATCCGTCTTACGGCACACTGTGCGAGACGTGAGAAGGATTTGGAAGCATGTGAATGTGAATCGTGTGAGTACGAAACTGAAAATAAGAAATTACTTCTGAAGCACCCGTTGAAGCATAAAGATTCTTTGCAGATTCAAATGTACAGATGTAACGATTGTGATTATGAAGCAAGGTACAACAGTCATTTCAAACAGCATCAACTGAAACATAAAGATCCTTCACAGGTTCAAATGTACAGGTGTAACGACTGTGATTATCAAAGTAAATACAAGAATAGCATTAAATTGCATCAATGGAAACATAAAGATCCTTCGCAGGTTGAAGTGTACGGGTGTAACATGTGTGATTACAAAACTATATACAACAGTCATTTCAAACAGCATCAACTGAAACATAAAAATCCTTCACAGGTTCAGATGTACAGGTGTCACGATTGCGATTATGAAACTAAATACAAGAGTCATTTCAAAAAGCATCAACTGAAACATAAGGATCCTTCGCAGGTTCAAATGTACAGGTGTCACGATTGCGATTATGAAACTAGATACAAGAGTTATTTCAAAGGGCATCAACTGAAACATAAAGATCCTTTGCAGATTCAAATGTACAGGTGCAACGACTGCGATTTCGAAACTAAATACAGGAGAAATCTCGAAAAGCATCAACTGAATCATAAAGATCCTTCGCAGATTCACATGTACAGGTGTCAGGATTGCGATTATGAAACTAGATACAAGAGTTATTTCAAAAAGCATCAACTGAAACATAAAGATCCTTCGCAGATTCATATGTACAGGTGTCACGATTGCAATTATGAAACTAGATACAATAGTCATTTCAAACAGCATCAACTGAAACATAAAGATCCTTCGCAGGTTCAAATGTACAGGTGTAACGATTGCGATTATGAAACTCCATTCAAGAGTTATTTCAAACAGCATCAACTGAAACATAAAGATCCTTCGCAGGTTCAAATGTACAGGTGTAATGACTGCAATTTCAAAACTAAATACATGGGTAATATTAAACTGCATCAAATTAAACATAAAAATCCTTCGCAGATTCAAATGTACAGGTGTAACGACTGCAATTATCAAACTGAATTAAAGGGTAGTATCAAAAATCACCAACTGAAACATAAAGAGCCTTCGCGGGTTCAGATGTACAGTTGTAATGACTGCGAATACAAAACTAAGTACAAGAATGCTTTCAAATTGCACCGACTGAAACTTGAAGATTCTTCTCAGGTTCAAATGTACAGGTGTAGCGACTGCGATTACAAAACTAGATATAGGAGATGTTTCAAACAGCATCAACTGAAACATAAAGATCCTTCACAGGTTCATATGTACAGGTGTAACGACTGCGATTACGAAACTAAATACAAGAGTACTATCAAACGACACCAAATGAAACATAAAGATACTTCTACGTGCAAATGTACAGATGTAGGGACTGCGAGTATGAATCCAAATACAGGAGTGGTATAAAATATCATGTGTTGAAGTATAGAAAGCCTTCACGAGTGCAAAGAAGTTTTTGAGGAAGCATTGAAGTACCTCCCATGGCACTCACGGCAGCAAAGTTAAAAATTGGGGCATTTTAGAGACTGACTATAAATATTTTAACTGAAGCAAAATGTAAAGCCTATCTTGAAAAACATCAACAAGTTTACATGTGCTTCTGTAACCAGGTGTATTAATTTAGAATAATTTAGATACATTGTAATATGGCTTAGGGCAAGGGTCGGCAACTGGCGGACCGCGGTCCAGTTCCGGACCTCGGAAGATTTTTTGAAAGTATAAATTGACACCTTATCGTTTTTTCTAGTAATTTACAATTGTGTGAGTTCTTAATGGTGAGTAAGCAGATTAAATTTGAGTCGAAATTAAAATAAAAAAATGAATTTTTTTTTTGGACCACGTTAAAAATTTTCAAAAGTATCCGGACCCCACCTAAAATTACTTACCGACCCCTGGCTTAGGGGGTGGCGAGCAGGGCAATCGCCCGTGGCGTCCCTCATTCAGGGGCCTCGTGCAAGAGCCCGAGCAAAAAAAGTTTATATTTAAAATTTTATTTTATCCTTAGCAATTAGTGGTACAGGTATATGACAAATAAAATAAAGTTGGTTAAGTATATTAATACTTAATAATTTGAAGCGAATGCGCAAACTTGTGCATTTTCCTTATGATTTTTATAAAAGTAATCCCACTGAAGCAAATAGGACCATCTGTAATAACTACCGTTATCTATGCCGTAAAAAAATTCAGGATCTACGGTAAAGTTTAATGACAATTTGATAATTTTGTGAGGAGTGATCCAATACTATTTGATTCACTAAATATTGTTGGCACTGCATTTTTGTTGAGGCTGTTCTTCCTACTATTTCTAAAACATTTTAATTCAAAATGGTCTTCGCAAAAATAACATTTTCCGTTGATGAAGTTAAAATCTAGTTTACATAATTTGCGAACTGATTCTATCCAAATCATTTTCCTGTCTGCACTCTGCAGTAACTCTGAAAAAGCTTTTATTTCTGTAAGAAGTATCTGTGATATATAACTAATAGGTATTCTTGCAGTTTGGTGCACAACAGTTCCAGACATTTTCTATTAAAAAGTAAAACAAGTAAAAGCAGTAAGACAATTCAGATGAACGATTCAACAATTATAATTATCTTCTTGCGTTACATTAAATTGTAGTCTAAAATAGAAAACAATTATCAAAAGCACTAGCACGGTAACTTACGAGATAATTAGTCATAATACAACATAGAGAAGAAATAACCTCAAACGTAATTCACAGAACACATCCCCTTTGTGACCTAATTTTCCATACACGTATTCTTTCGTATTGAACAAAGTGATTGAAATCAGTAAAGAACCAATCATGATTAAGAATTTTAAAAATGTGGTATTATGATTGGCTAGTTACCTATTACAATCAGTTTGTTCAGCTTCCGCACGAAAGAATACATGTAATATCAAATTTTTAATTTTTTCTGCGAACTATATAGGTTCTAATAACAATATTACTTTTCTGTTCAAGTTAGTATTACAGTTTTCGATACATAAATAGTACTAACGATGGCAATGTTGTCCAGGCCCATTCTGAGGTGGCGCTCGTACTTTCATGATTTTGCTCTTCCTATCCTTTTCACGGGGCTTATTTATCAGTCATATACCTTAACGGTAATAACTGAAGAAGTTAGTCTGAATGTAGATGGAAAAAAATCTTAGGACGAAGACAGTGTCTATCAGTAGATAAGCTAGGGGCGTACGACGCCAAAATC